TTGTTTTTGTTTGACGATTCTATGTCAACATGAAATCCTCGCGCTCACGCGATCATGTGCGCGTGAGCATTGACGGTGACTGGTCAGATTGGTTCCATGTAAAAAATAATACCTGGGAATAGCGATCAGCTGCTACGCTTAGGGTTATTATTATTTTAAATATATTTAGTAAAGGCTGCATATGATTAAGAAAATAATGGAATATATTATTCCTAATAAAAAAAAGATACAATTTTTGCCGATCCTTGCAATAAAAATACTGTAAAGTTATATCATTGGGTGTGTCTTGACCGAATCACCGGTCGATTCCAAGAAAACGTGTGTACAGCTGATTGCTGTTTCCGGCTTAGTTTACGAGACAATACACAAGGTAATCTTAATCCCTGGATATAAAACAATGCCTAGCAGAACAATAAATACTATTTAATCGGTAAATAAACATGTCTGGTGATTTTGTATCTCAAATTTCAAATTTGTACTGACGAAGTATCTCATCACCCGTTCGTTTGCCGGACTTCGCTGAAAGGGTACGGTGTAATTTTTTTCTGCGCATAATATTCAAATTTCTTTTTTTTTTCAAAATATTGAACCTGCTAGAGGGGGGTGCGCATTATACACGGGTGCGCACTATACTCAAGAAAATACGGTATATATAATGAATGAGTGAGGTTTTATGCCGCTTTTAGTAATATTCAGCAATATGACGACAGGAGACACCACAAATGGGCATCACACGTTATACCCATGTCAGGAATCAAACTTGGGTCTTCGGCGTGACGAGCGAACGCTTTAACCAATAGGCTACCTGACTGCCCCTTCATATTTATTAACAATAGGATTGGGCCTTTCAAATGGTGTATAACATGTAGTAGCAAAGATGTTTTACAAGCGGATATTTTCTTTGATAGATGTTGGCTTCATCTATCACACAAGAGTCTCTGGAAATTCGGTGTCACAGCAGTAAACGTTTCTGGTTGAGTGGTATTGAAAGAGTTAACGCAATGTAATAAACACCACTTGTTTTAAGACAAGGTAATAAACACAACCTGTTTTCCACACAATGTTGACATAGCAGTTTTCATTTCACAGAGAAGCCAGGAAATCAAGAAGTTACAATTCGTGACGTACAGACATCTATGGCATTGCAGGTCTTAAGGTCCAAGGGAGACAACTGGGAAAACCCGAAATACCTTGTGCAGGCAAACCATCTGCTTTAAAGAACTCACATCCGTGAACTCACTGTTCATCTGTGCTTAATGTTATCTCTTCACAGATGTTCAGGTTATAACCTTGTACTCCTCCCTTGTGTGACACGTATTCTACCATGCATTGATAAATGATTGGTTAAAAAGAGGTTTCCTTTTTGCTACGGAAACTCTTTCAAATATATTAAACCTTTTCACAAAAAAATGGCTGCTGATCGATCACCCCCCCCATGTGAACTGAAATACGTATCTATATTTCCTCTGTTACACGCTGGGTCTCTGATACCAGACAGGTCTCTTATACACGCTGAGTCAACGGCTCTCGTTAAATTAATAGATGGCATAGTGTCTAATAGAGGAAATACGGTAGTTTGATATCAGATGTTTTTGGCGACGATGTGATGTTTTAGGCCTTACCCTGACTGCTTTGATGATGAGATTACAAGACTTTACGAAGGCATAACTTTTGCATGCAAATGAAATGTTTATGAAACTGTTAGGGACATGTTCGATGACGAACAGACTCAGAACAGGAAATTTTGTCATTGCAACAACCGACAATGAAAGTAAAATATAACATTATAAAAATGTGTTGAGAAACTATATTTATGAAAACATGTTGTTTACAAACCTGTTTGTTATCGATAGTCAACCACCACCGTAAAGATTTGGCAGGAGGGGATTTGAAAATCCATCAGAAAACACTCGTCCCTTCGAAATGCCACAAAAACCCTGTCCCGACATCACTGAAGTTACAGCTTTTCAAACTTGATGAAAATCATTTCAGGACACGCACAATTAGGAAAATCATACACAGACAACTATTTCTGTGTCACAAATGTCTCATTGCTTTCACACACAGGCCTTGAATCAGTGAAATCTTGAAATTGACAGGTCAAATCATGCAGATTCCTTGTGTCGAAATAGCCGGCTCGTCTGCAGCCTAAAAAGCGGCTGCGTCAGTCATACTCAGTTCCATTAGCAATTGCATTGCACCAGCAGGCTCATTCCCAGTAAATCTACAGGTTAATATTGAACCACATCAAAGATCAGGGTTGTCATCTTGCTCGTGTAACTTGTCTGAGGCACAAAATGTAACCGTCAGCCATTGACAGTTGTGAGGTGTGAGTAACCATGATGTAGGTCAAGTTCTGCCACATCCAAGTTCGGCGTGGAGAGACATTTATTTTGATTTTTTAAAATTATATACTAGGGTAATTGCAAACTACCTAATAAAACTTACTCATGAAAAATAAATAGTAGAATGTTAATTCATAAAGTGTTTTCGAGAAATATATTTGTTTAGCACATTAAAACTATTTCTTCAACCTGTCACCCCTACAATGGAAATGGCATACTCGATTTCCAAGAAAAGTGTTCTCTCCAAATGGTGCAGAGCAGGTTGCTATGAAATTAAAACATCTATCTTTGGACTAAGTTTCGTGGGTTATTTGTCAACTATGTGTTTTGAACACTTATTTTGAACTTCTCAAGACTATGGGTATTTTAATGTTGAACTTTATTCATATTTGTTACATATGTTACTACTTGTTGTCAATTTTCGAAATGTTCTCAGATTGTGGACCTTTGTACCCTGTGTTGTTACGCTTTGCAAGGGAGCACCGTTTTCAAGGCATTGTTGCCGTCATGCTAGAATGGAGATAAACCTACTGTGTTTTGAAAATTTGATGTGGTCCCACTGTCGAGTAGATACCTCTTATTTTAATTTGGAACCGAGCATCTTATCTCCTAAATGCCATCAGGTAGCATCAGGACCCAACACAATCAACACAATCAACAATACCATATGACCTTATATTCTAGTCAAAGTTTGAATGTGTTAGTGAGTATTGTGCCAGAGAACTGGGGACCTATTCTGCCGGAATCCACATGGGGAGACAAGCATGAGGTACTGGAGACCTGTTCTGCTGGAATCCACATGGGGAGACAAGCATGAGGTACTGGGGACCTGTTCTGCTGGAATCCACATGGGGAGACAAGCATGAGGTACTGGGGGCCTGTTCTGCCGGAATCCACATGGGGAGACAAGCATGAGGTACTGGGGACCTGTTCTGCTGGAATCCACATGGGGAGACAAGCATGAGGTACTGGGGGCCTGTTCTGCTGGAATCCACATGGGGAGACAAGCATGGGGTACTGGGGGGCCTGTTCTGCTGGAATCCCTTTGGGAGACAAGCATGAGGTACTGGGGGGACCTATTCTGCTGGAATCCCTTTGGGAGACAAGCATGCGGTACTGGGGGCCTATTCTGCCGGAATCCACATGGAGAGACAAGCATGGGGTACTGGGGACCTGTTCTGCTGGAATCCACATGGGGAGACAAGCATGGGGTACTGGGGGCCTATTCTGCCGGAATCCACATGGGGAGACAAGCATGGGGTACTGGGGGCCTGTTCTGCTGGAATCCACATGGGGAGACAAGCATGAGGTACTGGGGACCTGTTCTGCCGGAATCCACATGGGGAGACAAGCATGGGGTACTGGGGGCCTGTTCTGCCGGAATCCACATGGGGAGACAAGCATGGGGTACTGGGGACCTGTTCTGCTGGAATCCACATGGGGAGACAAGCATGAGGTACTGGGGACCTGTTCTGCCGGAATCCACATCGGGAGACAAGCATGAGGTACTGGGGACCTATTCTGCCGGAATCCACATGGGGAGACAAGCATGAGGTACTGGGGACCTGTTCTGCCGGAATCCACATGGGGAGACAAGCATGAGGTACTGGGGACCTGTTCTGCCGGAATCCACATGGGGAGACAAGCATGGGGTACTGGGGACCTGTTCTGCTGGAATCCACATGGGGAGACAAACATGGGGTACTGGGGACCTGTTCTACCGGAATCCACATGGGGAGACAAGCATGAGGTACTGGGGGCCTGTTCTGCTGGAATCCACATTGGGAGACAAGCATGAGGTACTGGGGGCCTGTTCTACCGGAATCCACATGGGGAGACAAGCATGAGGTACTGGGGGCCTGTTCTGCTGGAATCCACATGGGGAGACAAGCATGAGGTACTGGGGGCCTGTTCTGCTGGAATCCACATTGGGAGACAAGCATGAGGTACTGGGGGCCTGTTCTACCGGAATCCACATGGGGAGACAAGCATGAGGTACTGGGGGCCTGTTCTGCTGGAATCCACATGGGGAGACAAGCATGAGGTACTGGGGGCCTGTTCTGCCGGAATCCACATGGGGAGACAAGCATGGGGTACTGGGGACCTGTTCTGTCCTGGAATCCACATGGGGAGACAAGCATGGGGTACTGGGGGACCTGTTCTGCCGGAATCCACATGGGGAGACAAGCATGAGGTACTGGGGGCCTGTTCTGCCGGAATCCACATGGGGAGACAAGCATGGGGTACTGGGGGCCTGTTCTGCCGGAATCCACATGGGGAGACAAGCATGAGGTACTGGGGACCTGTTCTGCCGGAATCCACATGGGGAGACAAGCATGAGGTACTGGGGACCTGTTCTGCTGGAATCCACATGGGGAGACAAGCATGAGGTACTGGGGACCTGTTCTGCCAGAATCCACATGGGGAGACAAGCATGAGGTACTGGGGACCTGTTCTGCTGGAATCCACATGGTGAGACAAGCATGGGGTACTGGGGACCTGTTCTGCTGGAATCCACATGGGGAGACAAGCATGGGGTACTGGGGACCTGTTCTGCCCGAATCGGGCTGTGTTTATCCTGTCTGGAATCGGCACTGGGAGACAGTCAAAGAGTCCTGGGGACATGCACGGAGTATGTGGGTGCAGTCAACTCACCCTGTGTCCAGTGTTTCCTCCTCCACTAGCACACCATCAGTATTCTCATTCACGCGCAGGAACACGTAGCTGTCAAGGTTCGGCTGTATAACTGGAAAACATCACACAGAATGGTCAGTATGAAGACCACAAGGCTTGTAGGCTCACCTAAAATACTTGCCAAAACAGAACCAGCCCCTTCACCGACAGTTCCTCAAAGTCCTAAAACACCCTTGTACTTCTTGACACTAACTTTAACCAAGGCAACTTCCTGTATGACAATAAGTGAGATGAAATGGGGTTTAACATTGCGTCGAACATTACTGCACTTGTATACCGATGTGCATGTGTGTGTGTGTGTGTGAGTGTGTGTGTATGTGTGATTGTGTGTGCGTCTGCTTGTACTTTTCTGAACTATTGGAGCCCACTGGTTGGTTGGTTTGTTGTTAAACGCCGCTCTCAGCAATATTCCAGATATATGACGGCAGTCTGTAAATAATCGAGTCTGGACCAGACAATCCAGTGATTAATATGATGAGCATCCATCCACGCAATTGGGATCGATGACATCCATCAACCAAGTCATCGAGCTGACCAACCGATCCCGTAATTCGCCTCTTACGACAAGCATAGTCGCCTTTTATGACAAGCATGGGTTGCTGAAGACCTATTCTACCCCAGATCATCACGGGTCGCTAGCCCACCGAGATACCATGCTTTAGCTTAACATGAATACCCCACTCAGACACAGTATACTGACTCCAAGCCAACCACTCCTTGTTTTATCCCCTTAATGCTGAGCGCATTATAAATGTAAAGTCCTAATGTTTACAATAAAAGAATGAACATTGTGTGTGGCCATAGACTTTACATCAATACTCAAATTCTGCTGCCTCATATTGCTTCCGATATAAACTGTAAGTAACATCAAGATATACTGAGAAAAACAAGGACACTAGTAAAGCAGCCATGCACGTATACCAACATTGCTATACAAGTGCAATAATCTTGGACATGACGTTAAACCCCCATTTCACCTCCCCTACATTTGTAATGGTAAAAGGGAGGTAATTCAATTGACTGTATACATGAGTTACCTCCCTTCTCATAAAGTTTGGAGCACAAATGACAATAACTTCTATGAAAATTGCAGAAAGTATGTAAAAAACAGGTAATCCCCCCGCCTTATCTCTTCCACTGAGAAGCTCTTTCCTGATTTTCAGCCTTTTCCTGTCAGTCCATTGGACAGCAGTCAAATGTGACCAGACTGAAGATTTTATAAGGGAATACAATATGTTTGTGGTGTAAGCTTAGTTCCCCTTACACTAACTAGGCGCTTGATTTGTTTGTTTATACTATAGTTATTCCCACAAAATGTGGGAGGAATGGATGCTGTCTGTCCATCCTTCCGTCTGTTGTCCGTCATGTTTTGTTTCCAGAGCATAACTCGGGAACTGTTTAATATTTTATTACGAAACTTTACATATGCATCAAACACATTCTGAACTGGTGCTTTTTGGCCTTTCTAAAAATATTTTTATGGTGTTTCCATGCCAACAAACTGGACTTTGACTCAAATATGTGTAGCATTAATTTCCAAAGCATAACTTAGAAACCATTTCATATGTTATTATGAAACTTTGCATATTTATCAAACACATGCTGAACCGGTGCCTTCTGCTGTTTTCTTGGCAACAAGTTAGACTTTACCTTAATACAGCTTTCATTACCAGAGCATAACTTTAAAGCCAGACGGGTTGTAGTGTTCATTTCTGGATCATATATCCATATTATTTTCATAGTAAGTAAGTGAGTATGGTTTTACGCCGCTTTTAGCAATATTCCAGCAATATCACGGTGGGGGACACCAGAAATGGGCTTTACACATTGTACTCATGTCGGGAATCGAACCCGGGTCTTCGGCGTGTATTATTTTCATATATTATCCATGAAACTATAGATCTATATTAACAGAAACTGTCATGCTATTTTGGATTTTCTGTATAAAGATCAATGCATGGATGTCTGAGAACCGTTACCATAATTACCTAATTACCTAACTGAGATGTATAGCACCTTATAAAGGAACTTGTACAAACAAGATTTGAACAGTACTTTAGTCATATCATGGCGTATATATCCCACGAGTAAGGATATAATGCTGACAACCCTAGAAACATAATCAGGGTGATTCTAGGTCCGAACCAATTATGACAAGTTCCTGGTACGTCTAAGAGAGACAACTCTGCAACTGGGGTGCATGAAACGACTGGGCCACCTGCTCGGGACCTCTTCTAACCCAGAATCCCCATGGGGACCACCTGAATACTTACTTGATTGCGCAGGAGTTAGTGTTTGTAGGTTGGCCGGCATGTGTCTCAGGGATAAAGTCTTGAAATGTGTCTCCATTCCTTGCTGAAACCTGAAATATAATGGCAACAGTTTGATGAGAATGAACTCTTGAAACGTATCACTGTCTCATCAGTATTGTATGAGAAACAATCTCATTAAAATCAGCTCTAAGTTCTCTCTGCCGCTAAACAAAGATCTGAGGACATCCCATTACGGGTCACGTCAGAACGACCTTTTGACCGACCATTGAAACGATTAACAAGAAGTCGACATCAGCCAATTAGAAAGCAGCTTTCTCGAGCTTTATGGCACTCGTTTCAACCTGGCAACTTCCATTTCAGACTACGTTTGAAAAATATGTTGACACAGTTCTCGATTAAAATTTTGAAAACTGAACAAAATGAACATTCCGGAATGTCTAATATATGGTTGTGATTGTATGGCAGTGCTGTGCAATGCCTCCACTGTTCAAATGTTTATCCCACGGAAGCGAGAGGTAGACGATAATTTTGATGGAATCAGTTGTATGGCCGTAATTGTCGTTCAGAATACCCCGTGTTAACGTTTTTGAGGGTGCATGATTAGAAAACACATTCCGACTGTCACTTTCATGATCTGGTAGGCCACGCTTGATCGGATGAAAGGTCGTTCTGACGTGACCGGTAATGGGATGTCCACAGATTTTTATAGCAAGAACTAAGATCTGATTTTTAGGAGATTGCATGAGGAGTAGATGACACAGTTTATTATGAAAACATACTACTCACAGAGCTCCAGATAAGCTTTTGGTGTTGTGGGTATTTTACCCATGCATTTTAAAATCATTGGGTATCAGTAATTCTATCTGGGTATTCAAATTTCTGTTACCCACTAGATTTTACACATGTGGGTATTTAAGTTAAATATTTAAAAACACTATTCATCTAGTCCCTGCAAACTGGTGTCGTGTGGGTTCGAGAGCTTTATAGGACTCAAAAATACCACGATACTTCCACAAGAAAGTGTGATGGCAAATGATCATGATGTAACTGTCATCGTGGAGTTTGGCAAGGTTGACGGAATGCCCGTTTATAATTTCAAAATAAGTTGCTGATTTGCTAATCAAATACGCAGGGTTACTTCACAATATTTTGATGATACGCACAAGTTTGATTTTTGTAGCGAATCTGTAATGTTCGTTGCGTATTTGATACGCTTGGTTTTTATATGACTGCATATTTCTGCACATCTGATGCGTATTTTAGGCAGATACGCAGCTTATCTGGAGCTCTGACTCAACACTTTGTAAGAACCAAAATAGTTATCTTTAGTCAAATGTGTGGTCCTTGTGTGGCAACTGTTGAGTAGGAAATGAAACAAAGTTACCTGACTGTGTATTTTGCGATGCAAGTCAATTAGTCATAAAAATATTACACAATATTGTACTTTGATGTGCATGAAGAACTTAATAATTCTATTTACATACTAGATGTCAATTGCTTCATTGGTCAGTGTTCCCGCTGGCTTTTGAAACTACCAGTCCTGGTGGATTGGCAACACTGAAAATTACCATGTCCCCTCCTAATTTTTGTCAGTCCCAACTTTCAACAATTAAGTAACGTTTAAAAATAACCAGGTTTTAATTCATTCAACTTGACATCATCTCTGAAGTAACTTAGTTAGATCTACACGTCATTCACACAAAGTCCAGTCACAAGATTCTCCCCTTTTTTCATATTTCAAGATTAAGTCGCTACAAATATATATTTAACCTTGAAGCAAAGCAAAATGTTATTTCCTTGCACTAAAATTAAACAAGGGGAAACCCTTAAGGTAACAGACAAGCTGACTTCATACAAAAAATATACTTATCTTATACATTGTATGAATATCGCCGATGTTTTGTTCAACAACAAAGATTTAAAAGGTGCTCTATTTGCCGGTCCACAGGACTGGCAGTCACATGAATTACCGGTCCAAGCCCAATTTTACTGGTAGAAAACTGGTAATTAACGGTAAACGGGAACACTGAAGGTCATGATGACCCCATTTCAGAAAACGTCTGACCCCCTTTACAACAAGCAAGCCCTAGGAATGAATCAATGATATTTGCATGGAGTGAGTGAGTGAGTGAGTGAGTGAGTGAGTGAGTGAGTGAGTTAAGGACATGCTATCAACCAAGACCAGGGTTAGAAATTTATCTTTATTCACACTAGTCCACAAACTGATCTGCTACAGTGGTGCCATCTACTTAATGTTGAAAGTGATAGTCCACAACGAAATGCCATCAGCTCTTCCTACATCATACTTGTCTCAGACGAGTAGACTTATGTTAACTTGGAACCTTCAAGACCGTCTGATCATCCCATCCATTTGGTCGCCTCTTAAGATCATCATAGGTTTTTGAGGACGGATTCTAACCAAAGCTAGAAGTTCTGACCTCAATCCAATTAAACATTTGTGGGATAAACTTGGGCTTCGATCTGACATAAAGTAGCACCTTACAATCTGGTTGTATGCCACTTTTAGCAACATTCCAGCAATATTCCAGCAATATCCCAGCAATATCCCAGCGAGAAATGGGCTTCACACATTGTACCCATGTGGGGAATCGAACCTAGGCCTTTGGCATGACGATCGAACGCTTTAACCACAAGGCTACCCCACCACCCCCAACAAAACTTCAGACATGTTAATCCACATTTTACCTACTCTTTTGCAAAAGTGTATTCGCCAGGCGACATCAAGGCCGTGTCATCATCCTTCCTCTGGGCTTCAGCTTGCAGGACGTAGGCGGAGTATTTCTCAATCTGCAACATCAGCAACAACACTGAACACAAGTGGCTGGTGGATTTTCAAAAGAAACAGAATATTTTAAACAAATACCATTGGTTGGTTTGTTGTTTAACGCTGCACTCAGCAATAGTCCAGCGATATGACGGCGGTCTGTAAATAATCGAGTCTGGACCAGACAAACCTGGACCAGATAATATCATGAGCATCGATCTAGGCAATTGGGATCGATGACATGCATCAACTAAGTCAGCGAGCCTGACCACCAGATCCCGTTAGTCGCCTCTTATGACAAGCATAGTCGACTATACCGGCAAGCATGGGTTGCTGAAGGCTGTTCTAACCCGTATCTTCACGGGTCACACACATATACCAAATTTCCTAAATATATATTTCAATATGGCTGCTATAGCAAAATTGGATTCAAACTCCGGAACAAATTGGGGTGTCATCATTGGTGGGAAAGTGAAATCTCCAGGTGGATTGCTTTCCAAGTAGATGATGTGTAAGGTAACGCAGTTTGAGAGAAAATATAGGAATGGCCAAAGATTAAATATAAAAAAAAAATAAAAAATAAAATATCATTAAAAACGGAACACATGTGTTGTCCCACTACTAACTACACATCTACCAAATTTCACAACATTTTGAACAAAAATGGCTGAGTAATGGCCATAAGTTCAGCTTGCAGTAAGGTCAAATTGCAAAGGTCAAGGTCAAAATATAAAATGTCTAAAAGAACGGAACAAATAAATACCGAGCCAATACTCACTACACATGTACCAAATTTCATTACAATTTGAAAATAAAATGGTTGAGAAAATGGCCATATATGGCTTTTTCAATACGGCTGCTGTAGGACGGTAAGGACGTGAATTATAGTCCTGTCTCCTCACTCCCCTTACCCTTAAAATAGTTACCTTTTCTAATCTTAATCTCAAGTAGCTGCTGAGTACATATCGGATTCTGTCAATCTGAAAGATGGAAAGAAAATGGACAATGAAAACATGAAGAAAATTCTTAACAAGTACTGACCAATGTTTAATGTACAATGAGCATGTGAGTGATTTGGTTTTCTGCTGTGTTTAGCAATATTCCACCACTGTCATGGTTGGGGCACACCAGAAATAGGCTTCACACATTGTACCCATTTTGGGAATCAAAACCAACTTTCGGTGTGACGAGTGAACGCTTTAACCACTAGGCTACCCCACCCACCTTATGACAATGTACAATGATCACCATGAAGATCCGGTTTAAAACAACCCTTGCTTGCCAAAAGAGGCAACTAGTGAGTAAGTGAGCTGGGTTTAGCGCCGCTTTTAACAGTATTACAGTTACATCACCATGTGTCAGCTTAATGTGGGAGGAAAGCCCAAAGTGATGCAAGTATCAGACATTACCCACTTCGGTGAAACCCACGAGCACGGGTATGGTGCTGACAAACCTAGAAACATAATCGGGGCGAGAGGCAACTAACAGGATGAGTGTGTGGGTTTGGTTGGGTGAGTGACGTTTACCGTCACTTTGAACAGTATTCCAGTTATATTACGGCACATCAGCTTGATAAAGGATGAATTCCCGAAGTGATGCAGGACTTAACCGTTTACCACTTTCATGAAACCCACAAGCACGGGTATGGTGCAGACAAACCTAGAAACATAATCGGGGCGAACTGGGACTACAATCATAGGTTCCTGGCGTGCCCAAGGGACGCAACTCAGTGAATTGTGATGCCTTTGATGACTGGGTCAGCCATGCCCTCTGACATGGAGGCAAAATGAGTTCATGGTAATAGTCACGCGATATTTTTCATTAACCAATTTAAAACAAGGCATCCTTTACATGGAAGCATTAAGATTATCATACATGTCTGCATCTTCCCGAGGCAAGAGAGTTAACTGACTTTAATAGTCCAGTTTCCACCCTTGCCGAACTAGGCTGGTATTATGGAGTTAGATTTTGGCTGGACTAACGAGTCTATGCATATTCCGATCAAAATCGCCCAACGAAATTGAAATCCGGTTAGTAAACTGTCATGCAGATTTTAGGTCGATTGCAGGATTTGCAAAGCATGTGCACCGCCAACTCGTTGTCAACAGATATTTTCCAAATCTGTTCCTGTTTTTAATCAAGGTGCTCACGTGATTTGATGCACTTCGAGATGTAAGATCCGTCTTATCACAATATCCTCTTGACTGGGCGCCGCCATTTTGTTTGAAGCAAATGCAAGTGAAGTGATACGAGAGGTGGAATCTGATTGGTCCATTGGAGAGGCAAAGAAGGGATATAACTTGTACTAGCCACTGGTGGGGCTATGCTAAAGCCTGGGAATTCCAGCCTAGTTCGGCAAGGGTGGAAACTAGACTTTTAGAGTCAGTTAACTCCCTTGCCTCAGGAAGATGACATGTCTGTGTGATACACACACTCCATAAGTATATCAGTATTCAAACCATCACTGTGCTGGAATATGAGAGAAAAAAACTAGAGTGATGTGTATAATCAATTTTAGAACAACCATGAAGATCCGGGTAGAGAATAGGTCTTCAGCAACCCATGCTTGCCGTAAAAGGTGACTATGCTTGTTGTAAGAGGCGACTAACGGGATCGGGTGGTCAAGCTCGCTGACTTGGTTGATGCATGTCATCGTATCCCAATTGCGTAGATCGATGCTCATGATGTCAATCACCGGACTGTCTGGTCTGGACTCGATTATTTACAGACCGCCGTCATATAGCTGTAATATTGCTGAGTGAGGCGTTAAGCAACAAACAAACAAATAAAAGAACTAAGCAGTAACTGCTGACAGACAGATGCGACTGATGTAAGGGAGACAACTGTCATTCAGGAAGTAGTTATGACAGCACATAAATCGTATCAGTGAGGTTGACAGTTGTAGGTATGGAATGCTAGTTTGATTGAGATGTTTGTTGTGTTTTAGGAATGATTGTGTTTGTGGAAATGTTCATTTGACAGTTTGATATCTTTGAGGAAACCAGGTTAACTGTACAAGCTACTTCTCCTTTCCTTCACTACTTTCAGTTGCAGTTTAATGACTAGTTCTTAACGCTGAACTAAACTGACAGACAATTTAAACATCTTTGTCTCATTCAAGCAGAACTAGCTACAAACTCTAGAGGACCAGTTAGATAAGGTTAACATTTGTTATCTGGACAAGACTTTAGATCAACATCTAAGGCTGTATAGTCTGGAAGGTTATTTAAGGTACTGACGTTTACTACAATATCTGAGTGAGTGAGTTAATGCTTTACGTCACATCGGCAATATTTCAGCCATATCGTGACGATTTACAATATCTGAAAAACTATCGGACCTACTCCAGTCAAAGTTGGTATGAGATTATTAAACAGTCATACATAACTGGATATTACATATGCACGGGAATCACGCACGTTGAGACGCCCAACGCTAACACCGTATTTGTGCTTGCATGATTCCCGTGCACCCTTTCGAGTTGAGTTGATTGGTTCAACTGTGTCATATGGCCCTGTGACGCAGGGGTAGCATTAAGCAGATGGCTGCTTCAATGAATGCTTGTTCCACCCGTGACGAACAGGTCTGGTTGTTGATGAAATATAGTGATAGCTAAATAGACAGATTTTTTATCCACGCACCGATTGTCTTTAAATGTAATATCCAGTTATGTATGACTGTTTAATAATCTCATACCAACTTTGACTGGAGTAGGTCCAATAGTTTTCCAGATATTGTAGTAAACGTCAGTACCTTAAATTACCTTCCAGACTATACATTGACATGTGACTTCTCACCTCCATTCTATGAATGCTGACTTTAAAATCTCCCCTCTTGGCTGATCGAATGTTCTCCTCCATGGCTGTGATCTGCTCCAGCATACAATCCACAAGGTCGGTCTTTGCCTCCAGGAGGTCAGGGGAGAATTTCTCATCTAACCATGCCTGAAAATATATCATATCAGAGTTGAGAGCCAACCACACCTGAAATATATCATGCCACTGTTTAGTGAGTGTGTTTAGTGAGTGAGTGAGTGAGTGAGTGAGTGAGTGAGTGAGTGAGTGAGTGAGTGTGTTGTTTTTAGGCAGCTTTTAGCAATATTCCAGCAATATCATTGTACCCATGTCAGGATTCAAACCCGGGTCTTGGGCATGGCTTTAAGAGATCGCTTTAACATTAGGCAACCCGACCGCCACATACCACTGTTCGGAACCATGCGTGAAAATATATACAGCTTACATTGTCAGAGTTTAGAGCACTACCTGAATATACAGCATATTGTATCATGACCTGAATATACAGCATACCATGTCAGAGTTTAGAGCACGACCTGAATATACAGCATATCGTGTCAGAGTTTAGAGCACGACTTGAATATACAGCATACCATTATAGCGTTTACAGCACTACCTGAATATACAGCATATCGTGTCAGAGTTTAGAGCACTACCTGAATATACAGCATACCATTTTAGAGTTTAGAACACTACCTGAGTATACAGCATATCGTGTCAGAGTTTAGAGCACTACCTGAATATACAGCATACCATGTCAGAGTTTAGAGCACTACCTGAATATACAGGATACCATGTCACAGTTTAGAGCACTACCTGAATATACAGCATATCGTGTCAGAGTTTAGAGCACTACCTGAATATACAGCATACCATGTCAGAGTTTAGAGCACTACCTGAATATACAGCATATCGTGTCAGAGTTTAGAGCACTACCTGAATATACAGCATACCATGTCAGAGTTTAGAGCACTACCTGAACATGCAGCATATCGTGTCAGAGTTTAGAGCACTACCTGAATATACAGCATACCATGTCAGAGTTTAGAGCACTACCTGAATATGCAGCATATCATGCCAAGAGTCAAGACCAAAAACCATACCAGAAAAAATATAATGTCACATCTTTGAGGAACTCCTGAAGAGATATCATGTTCCAATAATTGATGAAATTATTAATTCTGTCTCGGTTTTCCAAGCATCTTGCACTTTAAGGTTAATTTTGTTTAAAGTAGGTAACCATACTCTTAGCCCTTGGATCCCCTTTCCACTGAAGCACCCCTTTATGATTAGGGTGGGGCACCTCTTGCCAATCAAACACCTGTTTACCATAATCAGGGTAAGGCATCCCTTTAAGACCCTGGGGGTTATTTGTGAGGTAGGGTATGGAATATGTCTTTAAAATCAAACAATTTTTATCAAGTTCCGAGTGTTGCGAAAAAATGGCTACTGTGCATGAACATAAAGGTATTAACCAATCAGGTGCTGATTAGGGCTGGGACAGGTAACTCGGGTACTCGGGTTGGGTGGGTACTGAGGAGGACCTGGGTACCCACAGGACCACCCCGACCCGGGTACCCGCAGGACTACCCCCGACCCGTGGTTAGTCACATTATATATTGTTTAATGACAAAAATGATTTACCCGGTAGAACTATTTGGTTACACTACAAGTCACTAATGTTCGCATTTCTTTTTGACTGTGCACCCATTCCTTCTGACTTTTATATGTTTGAATAACTATAAAACTTCAGTCATCTTCAGTTTATGCATGACCAGATCGTTTTATTCGTGTATCTAAATACATTTTGTCCAGGGCTACGGTCAAACTTTTCCCAATCGGACATTTTGTACCTATCTCTTGAGACCTACAGGGGGTACCGGGTAGGGTCGGGTCTTAGGGGATGGGTACCAGGGTAGTAAATTTGGACTAGTCCTACACTAGTGCTGATCGCTTGATAAACGAGCACTAATAGCAGAAAACTCACTTTGTGATCCTGCGTGGTCAATGTTTATGTTTATTACAAACTGTTAATCTCCGAGCTGTTCTGGTGTTCACAATCAGCCTATCAAAACATCTGTGGCCATGCTCGGCTATCTAAAGCGACAATAAACAATTTAAGGCAAGTGATTAACTGGATTAAGTACTGACACATTGTCCTCAATTTACGCTCTTAGTAACAATAGCAGAGCTCTAGATAAGCTTTTGGTTATTTGGGTATTTACCCAGGGGTTTGATTTTGATTGGGTATCCATCATTTTTAGAAGGTATTCAAAAACATTTTACCCCCCTGTTTCTTAACATTTGGGTATTTTAACTTTAAACCTGATTTGTAACAATCCCTGTAAATCATTCAAAAATATGTGAATAGTAGTATACCTGTCTGCGTCTGCTTGCAGCCCCCTTTCTGGGAAGCCATTTTTGTTTGCAAAACCTAGCACTATAAGAAAGACACTTTCTACAACATACTTTTCAATTGGCATCTATCAGTAAGTTTGTCATAGAAGCATTTCCGAATGTAACTGTTGTTAAGTGAATTTGGCGATCGGCTGATACACAATCATTTTATCTAACAGTTGTAATATACGCAATTGTTTATTTAATTGTTATAATGTACACATTAATTTTATTTCAATAGAGTACTTATAGTTTTTGTTGCGTATTTGATACACTAGGTTTTGATTTGTCTACACATTTCAGTTTATGTATTGCGTATTTATGCAAATACGCAGCTTATTTTGAGCTCTGAATAGTAAACCTGTGATTAGGCTGTAGCCTTTGAAGTGGGTGCATTCTGTCCATAAAACACAACTGGAGGGAGGAATTTCAGTATTGAAAAGATTACGATGACAAACACACTTTGCAAGTTTACTTTATTCGTGTTTGGTTTTGGTTTAACGCCGCACTCAGCAATATTCCAGCTAGATGAAGGCAGTCTGTAAATAATCAAGTCTGGATCAGAAAATCCAGTCAATGATATCATGAGCATTGATCCATGCAATTGGGAGATCAACCAAGTCAGCGCCTGAACACCCGATCCCATTAGTCGCCTCTTACAACAAGCATAGTCGCCTTTTTCGGCAAGCATGGGATGCTGACTCGATCCTGTTAGTTGCCTCTTACGACAATCATGGGTTGTTGAATACCTATTCTAACCCAGATCTACCTGGGTATGATTATTTGTGATAGCGCAGTGGTTCTGTGGTGACATGTGGGCTAATTAGTTGAAGCAGCATGTCTACATAATTATGCAAAACTATGTTGGTTTTCTCTGTTTATTTGATGTTTAACACAGCAGTCGGCAATATTCAAACTATATGACGGCGGTCAGTAAATAATCGAGTCTGGACCAGAAAATCCAGTGATTGACGTCATGAGCATCGATCAACGCAATTTGGAGATGATGACGTGCATTAACCAAGTCAGCGAGCCTGACCACCCGACCCCGTTAGTTGCCTCTTACGACAAGCAGGGATTGCTGAATACCTATTCAAACCCGGATCTTCACAGATATGGGAGATGTAAGGGAACAACACTAACAAACGGGTAGGAGGATTTCCTGACACACATGTCAACTCTTACTGCTGATCGGAATCAGGACAAATATCAAATGTATTCAAGTTTGATACCTCTTCTAATTTCTGAAGTACTTCAGCTGCTGTCATAGTTTCAACCTCTTCATCTTCCTCCAGAGACAGCGCATCTAGTTCCGACATGTTTGAGTAATATTAATATGAAGTATAAACAGTGCCGACTTTGGATAATGTAAACAACTTCACGCCAAATTTCCCGCCATGTGAGCTTCGTGATGACGATGTACCTTTCAATGATTTGTGAAAATGATTTAACAAATTTATATCCCCTAATTAATACCTTTTGACAACTCATGTACTATATGGGATGCATATAATTATCCCAGAATAATAATTATCCCAAAAATAAGCTTGTCACAAACGATCACTTTATTTTGTAATTTCGCAGAAAATTCAAAATTAGTCTCGCGCAATCTCGTTGTGCGAACGAGATGTTAGCAACTTAGTCCAAAATGGCGACTGGCCGTCGTCCTATTCTCCCAAATGAGCCCTCTTCTCCTTCTTCAAATGACGTTGGAAGAGAATTATTTGAAGCTTGTAGGAATGGTGATTTAAGCAAAGTTAAGAAATTAGTCAATTCTCACAACGTTAACTCCAAGGATACCGCAGGGAGGAAATCTACACCTCTTCATTTCGCTGCTGGTAAGGAAGTGTTCGGGCCTCTGGCCTAGTGGTGTTTTCAGTTTTGATCAAATTTGAGTGTTAGTCCATTTTTTCCTACACGATATTGTTACTGCACTTTTCTTACACATTATTGTGTATCACACTTTATGAATTTCGCTTTCCTACTTGCAGTAGACCTGAACTTAAAATGTCTGTTGTATGCTTACATCCACAGCTGGTTGAAGAAAGATCAATTAGTCATGATTTGCTGACAAGGCTCAAAGTTCGTCAAGGGTTTTCCAAGTCAAAATAAGTGCTTATCCTGCAAACGCTGAACGTATGTTAAAATATGGAGCCTTTTCCAAGCCGAATTAGTTTACGTCCAGTTTGCTTTTGCTTTAGCCCGTGATCAGCTGATGGCTGCATATCTTCATGTTGGTTATTGTTGTGTAAACAATGAAACTAGTCATCCCGTTCGTTCATGTGTCAAAGTGTGTGAAACACAGTTGTTTTCCCTATGTTCTTTGGGTCATTTGAGTAGAGATGCTGAAGCAAAAGCAGAGGTGGATACCATTGACTCCATCAGCTAAATCCAACTGGTCAGTTTGAAGGATAAGGATATACACTCAAAAAGCAATTTCAAATTAGCTGTGTACTCAATGTAATGTGACTACGTTTAGGAGATTAAGTCACAACTTTTCCCTACTTGCCAACTAGTTGTCATGCCTAATTCTAGTAAAATTGACAAGTGATGATTCTATGACATGTAATGCCTTTTCTTTTGTGGGAATCAATCAAGAAATGTTTTTTTATATGCAATGTATGATTTATGTTCAATCAATGGGTGATCATGAAAGCATTCTGCTACTTTAGCCACCTAGTTTGAAGCCTTAGTCTAGTAAGATTCGGTTTGCTCAAAATAGCTGTATGATAACATTAAAGTCTACTGAAATTGAAAATGATGCTAAGGGCCAAGTTCAGGCTTGTGGACTCCTTTTGGCACAGACTGTGATTGGGTATGAAAAGAGATAAGAAGCATTTGTTTCCTCAACATTCTTATATTTTTCACAATACTGACCATGGAGACATTTCATAAGCATCAGAATTTGAAGTCATCAGTTTGCATGGTTTGTCCACCAAGTTTCATAGCTTTTGCTCGCTGAGCAATATTAGTCATCTTGTCCACCTAACATTGCCTAATAACCTTCATGATATTTGTGAAGACAAGTCATGATCTGACTTCTGTTAACATGTTTTTGTTCTTCATTAGACTGACATATACCTATGGTAGCCTCTGAAATGAACATATCTTTCAGAAGACAGTTGTTAAATTATCTGGACTCTTTTCCTTCAGACACTTCAGCAGTTTCAGTAATCTAGACTTGCCGACTATTATAGACTTGCAAGGGCTGTTTTGGGTATATTTCTTTCAGGGTCTGTATGACAGACTATTTCGGCATCCACTATGGTATTGACCACAGAACACAGAAAAGAGACCATTGTTATTGTAAACATGGTAAAGATAAAATTCTTATTGTTCAGTTGCACTACAGTATCATTTTTTGGAATTATAAAGTAGGAATTATGAAGGAGCAATTAGTCAGAGCGTAAATAAAATTGATTCCAACTACAAGGCCAAAGCAAGAATTGACTTTGTTTTGGGAGGTACATTTTCTGTTAGTGTTACATCATTATTGACCTGTCTGCACATAATCTAAGCTAATAAAACATCCATCATATAATGAACAGTACTAACAAATTATGATCAGTGATTACAGATTTCAAATATGACAGGCCATGACAACTTGGTAGGTTGTCTCGTTTTGCATAAAGGAAATATATCTCTGTTCTTGCATGAAGCCTGAGCCACCAGGTTACTGGGTATGGTAACACTTTCTTTTCCAGCGCAAGTAAAAATGTTTTTCATTTATCATGATTGCACTACTAATTGTGGTTCTGCATGTAATTTTCTTCATTGTCGTTTTGTTTAATGCCGCACTTAGCAATATTCCAGCTATGTGACAGTGGTCTGTAAATAATCTAGTCTGGACCAGACAATGTAAAGAAGACCAAAGAACACAATACATATTACACATATTAGTTAATACTAAGTCTATGATTATGAACTTGTTCAGTTGTTTGATTTCATCGTTTACATTTCCAACTTTCTTGTTAAAAATGTTCTGCAGAAAAAGGGGCGGTCGGTCAGCCTAGTGGTTAAAGCATTAGCTCGTCACGCCGAAGACCCGGGTTCAATTCCCGACATGGAAACAATGTGTGAAGCCCATTTCTGGTGTCCCCCGCCGCGATATTGCTGGAATATTGCTAAAAGCGGCGTAAAACCATACTCACTCACCTCATCGTCAATAAGTCAAGATTTATCTTGTACCCAACTTGAAATTGTATAATCATCATGAATAAGAGCCAAATATCAGCCAAATTTCTGAAGTCTTTGTAAAGAAATCTATCCATGGTACATCATGTACATAATAATTTTGTTTTGTTCACAATGATCATGATGATAAATCACTTAATTTGACATTTGGCTCTATTAATCCAACTGATGAGTAGCATAAGAGACATTTTCAACTTTTTACTTTCACAAAAATTCTCAACACTAACAGCCTGACATAATGATGTTCATTGATCATTCGTAGATTGCTTCTGATGCTTCTAAGTCTGAATAATGTCTGCTTTGTATATATTTATATTAGCATTATACGTATACATCGTCAGATGCAATTGATGGATTGCTGTGTGTCAGGCCAGTGACATGCTGAAAGTTCAGATCCAGTTGCCATGGTTTCTTAGGCATTTGATTGATTATGTAATCTGTACTGTGCTTGGTTGGGTGTCTGCTGTTATGTTTATCTGTTCAATGAGCAGCTTAGAATGTCACACACCGGAGTCTTGAAGTGACATATTTTGAGTCAACATTTGTCATTCATAAGTGATACGTCTAAGAATAACCAGACTTTGTCAGAGAAATTTCAAATAGTATCAAAAAGGAAACTATTAAAATAATAAGCATGTAAATGAAATGCCTATTTATGACGGGTCACATGTCACCAGATGGTTGCTTGTTTACAAATGCAATTTTCACCACAACATTGAACATTCTTATTTAGGATTAGATATCCTATTTACACTGTCAGCAGGAAAAGAAATGAATGTATGAAGTACAAGCCCTAATTGTAATAACTTAGAGGAACATCCCCAAAATGTTCAAAATTCTACCAGCCCTTAGGATATCTTTAACATTAGCGAAACTGGCTTGGGCTAGTGCTAATTTCTATACCCATATAGTCAGTGCATGATGTCAAACTGACTACTATTATTATAACATGTCATGATTTGAAAGGAGCATACCTAATTGTTTACATTATTACAAAGACTGATATGTATTTCATGGATTCTAAAAACTGATTATTTGAAATGGTTGATTATTGATAGTTATTCGATCATGATGAAGAGAATTTATGGATGTCAACTTCTTTATTATGAGGAACACAATGTTTTAGAGTATACACTTTTTCCTCCATCATTCACCTGATGAAGGAGTAAGCATATACTCCAAACGTTGTGTTCATTCAGTCATGATGTTGGTGGTTTGAAATCAGTTTATGTTTGTACATGTTGATAATCTGAGCTCTAGATAAGCTTTTGGTGTTGTGGGTATTTTACCCATGCATTTTAAAATCATTGGGTATCAGTAATTCTATCTGGGTATTCAAATTTCTGTTACCCACTAGTTTTTACACATGTGGGTATTTAAGTTAAATATTTAAAAACACTATTCATCTAGTCCCTGCAAACTGGTGTCGTGTGGGTTCGAGAGCTTTGTAGGACTCAAAAATACCATGATACTTCCAAAAGAAAGTGTGATGGCAAATGATTATGATCTGACTGTCATCGTGGAGTTTGGCAAGGTTGACGGAATGCCCGTTATAATTTCAAAATAAGTCGCTGATTTGCTAATCGAATACGCAGGGTTACTTCACAATATTTTGATGATACACACAAGTTTTATATTTGTAGCGTATCTGTAATGTTCGCTGCATATTTGATACGCTTGGATTTTATTTTACTGCACATTTCTGCATTTCTGATGCGTATTACACGCAGATACGCAGCTTATCTGGAGCTCTGATAATAATTACCTTTTCAACATTAAAGATGCGTCAGGGAAGTTATAAGGTGAAATATTCTGATTATGATCATGATGCAATAATGATAACGAACAATAACATATTGAACTTTATTACTCTACTCAAGTTCCTGGTGATGCCAGTTCCATGTAAAACACAAAGTATCATTTCCTAATCTTTGTTTGTTTTTGTCAGAGTGTATTTTCCTTTGAGATAGGGCACAGCTGATATGTGTTTATCCAGGCTATTTGCTATTGAGGGACAGGACCACCTAGACAAGCATGTGTGCCAGAAGTCACTCATCTGTTGTCTCTGTCTGTCAACTGTCAACCTTCACCCTCCTCATTCACTGTCACAACCCCTCCCCTGGGTCAGACTGGAGGGGGTCAGGTCATTAGGTCAACCTTTGACATCAGGTCAACAGCTAGGATATCCACCCTTGGATCATCTGGCCCACAGGCCTTAAGGCTGGAGATATTGCACTTTGCCTTTGGTTAAAGACAATCACACAGTCTAGACTTCATTATGCTTTCTTAGATTCATATGAGCCAATTAAGTTGGGTTTCTGAGCCAATTTAGTTGGGTTTCTTATGATAACCATTGATGCATGCTGAACAGGTATCTCAGGAGCCTTTCTTTACTTTTAAGTAGAGAACATTATTTGTTCAGCATTGTGGTTCCTTTAACTCATGTCTGTTATTATTTGATACATGAGCAGCATTAGAAATTGGCACTAGTCCTATAGTCCTTGCCAAACTGCCCAATGGTAAAGGTATCATAAGGACTAGTAGAAATTTGCCCCTTTTCAAGTGTTTTACTACACGTTATCATTATAAGTACCAGTGGATGAAAACTGTTAGTTTCTAACCCTGATGAGTGTTTAACATATTA